AAAAAAAAAAAAAAAAAAGTATCAGACAACACAAAGCTGTGCCAAAGAACAGAATTTTCCAAAGATTTGGCTGGAAGAGTCACTTTGTTTTACATGGCAAAATCTGTGCTGAGAAGAAAACACCAAGATGTGGAAAATGCAGAAGCTGGATTTGTTTTTAAGAGTCAATTTTATGTGCAGGGTTGGAAATGCAGGATTAGCCACGGGCTGATAGGTGAAATCACAAAAATAAACCAGGAATAAGGGAAGGAGCAGAAATTTCAGGATTAAACAGAGACTAAAAGTTAAATGTGGGGGCCATTAGAGAGGTGAAAATTGAATTTTAGTGGGAAACATCAATAATTTCTCTTCCTAATTTTGGTGGAAATGTCCCTGCCCATAGCAGGGGTTGGAATGGGATGAGCTTTAAGGTCCATCCTAAACAATTCTGAGATGATTTTTTTAAACCAAGCCTAAATTTTGCTGCCTTGGCACCTTGAGATCAACTTCCCTGGAGGGAAATGGGAACATTTTTCCCTTGGATTTCTGCTCTTGGACTAAAAATTTGAGGAAATTTTATTTTGTCTCTGTCCAGACTCCTCATGCAGGGACTTCCCTCACCTGAGAGCTGCATAAACCCCCCAAAAAAATTTATTCCCAGCTCTTATTAACTGATGGGAGAATGGGTAAAAAATGGATTTATTTTCTGAGTTTTTCAGAGTTTTTTCTCTCCTGATGTGAATTCCCTGGGAGCATTCTGCACACAAAGCCTGCTGGCATTATCTCTGCTGGCACATGGGGCTTGGGGTTAGAGGAAAGGGGAAATCTTATCAGCTCAGACTTAAGCCCTGCCTGATTAAACCCAGCCTATCTGTGAGCCCAAGGGCAGCACGACCCCTCTGGAATGGATTTTTTAGGGATGTGACTTGGGCAGGCAAGAGAGGAAAAAAAAAAAAAAAAGAATTCTGGGTTTATCCTGCAAGGCTGAGCTTCTCTGACTGTCCTGCTTAAGAGCAAGCCTGACTTTCTTAAGCTGAGCTCTGTGGGCCAGAAGAATGTGCTGAAAGTTAAAGCAGTGCTTGAATTAATGATTTTGTAACCCCTTTGAGTCACCAAAACCCCACAAATGGAGATAAATCCACTTTAAATCAGGATAAAACCAATATTGGAGAGATCCCCAAAGGAATAAACCAACCCCAAGTGGACCCAGCCCCACTCAGAGACCACAAAAATAAATAAATAAAAACCCCAAATTATTTCTTAACAGAATAAAAACCAATCCTGGAGGGATCCATGTGATCCCCAAAGGAATAAACCAACCCCAAGTGGAACCAGCCCCACCCAGAGACTACAA